ACCCAAAACATTAATAAATTTTATTTTAACCGCCCAAATTATTTTCAGAGCATTCTCTATTACCTTCCATGAAAGTGCACACAGACTGTTTCACTGAACTTGTGGTAACTGTTCGACAGTAGGCTTTTGATGTGTAATTCGAGTTTCACTAACGCAACAAAGTCTTTAACAACCAAAATGCTATACGCGATGGTGCTAATTATCAGGGATTATGAAGGAAAAATTTCATATGAATTTATCCAGAAAGCCCGGGGCTAGAAGTCAGGCGTTATATGTACTCTTTTTTTAAAATAAAATTTGACGAGCATTTTATGATTATGTTTTGGCGATAAAGTGGGAGTTTGAATTTCACTGTATTAGAAATGGGCGTTTCGTTCGAATTTGGATAGAAAACGAGGTCAGAAATTTACCAAGATTTACGAACAAAATTTGATGTTTTAGATACTTTTCGGGCAATCGCGATTGACTAAACATTGAATTTAGGAAACTGAAAGTTGCTACTCTGTAAAACGTCCTTTTCACGTTTTAATAATTAATTTCGTACGGGTGCCTTTTATGCTCCATGTTTGTTTTAAACTGCAGGTGCGAAATACTTATCTAAAAAGTTTTATCTATTGGAGACATTTGATGGGTATTTCTGAGATTCGGGCAAGACGTTGATAAGTTTTGGGAGGTTTCTGTTCGCATAATATTTTGCAGATTGAAAACAAAAAAGGAGTCTGTAATCACTCATCAAATATTTGGTCCTCGTCATCGACTCACGTCTGAAAATGAAACTCTTTTTCATTAACTCGGAACGGAACGTAAGTAATTATTTATTGACACATTTTATTTGTTATTTATGACGATGTTTCCGATAGGTCGCAATAAATGTCTACAGGGGAGATGTTGCCTATTTCTTCGTGGACACCTTTCCAAATTAAGCCTTTTTGAAGGAGTTTCCTAACGCTGGAAAGTTTCTTGAACCGAATGCGAAATGTTGTTGTCCAGAGAAGAGGCGTTTTCTTTCGCCGGGATTTTATTGGTCGTGTTCGTTTGTGGTCTCGTGGGTAACTTTCTTGTCTGTTTGGCGATTTACTTCGACAAAGATCTTCGCCAACAACACTCGAACTACTTTCTTTTTAACCTCGCCGTGACTGATCTTCTAACTGTGGTCTTTGTGATCCCATTTTGTGCTGCGGCGCTGATTCAAGGGGATTGGAACTATGGTGATGCGTGGTGTCAAGCAACAGCTTTTGTTTACTACAGCTTGGCAATCGTTGGCCTTGAAAGTTTAGCGTTCATAAGTTGGGATCGATTTTATGCCATAATCTATCCCCTTAAATACAGGGGGAAGGTAACACCGAGGAGAATTTATGCAGCCGTTGCGTTCAGTTGGATGTGGGCCTTTATTTTTACAATCCCCTGCGCAGCCATGGGTTGGTTTAGATATGGAGAATACGAATCTATGTGCACTTATAACTTCACCGGTACAGGCAATGAGTGGAAAATACGGGTCTTAATTTACAGCGTTCTTACAATTGCACTGTGTATCATAATTCCATCGACTGTGATACTCTTTTGCTACTTTCGAATAATCTCCGTAGTGCGACATCAAAACAGACGAGTGAACACCATTACTTCGAGAGAGATGACGAATTCTAAAAATTCGCGGCGCCAAGCTTGGAGAAGCTGTTACAGATTTAAAGGTTTCCGAACAATAACTGCGGTTATAATTTTGTTTATTATTTCGTGGACTCCTTTTAGTGCAACACGCTTTATTAAAACGGTTGCATGGAACCATGAAATTATTCCCGCTGTGGCAGATACATTTGCAACTGTGCTGTCTTTGTTTAGCACAGCCGCCAATCCTTTAGCGTACAGCCTCTTGAGAAGGGACTTCAGAAGAGCTTTTAAAAGGCTTCTTAGACAAATATGCTGTTGTGTTAAAAGAAGAGTAGATGAAAACGAAGAGTAGAGTAAAGACCGCGAAAAGGGACGTGGCAAAACATTTTGATAGTTACAAATGGAAACACATGAGAATGGAAAAAAAATTGTTTCGTGGACGAACGTTCAAGATAGTGCGTTGTTTGAAACGCAGAATAGATGAATACGAAAAGTGTGAAAGTAGGACTGCAGGACAGTGAATCTCTGCGATTATTTCAACTGGTCAGGGGATCTTCAAAACCTTTAATCAATAAGAATATGTGGTACATTTAAGAGAAGTGAAAATCGAAACTTGTTTTAATCGTAGTTTCAGTTTCTCCTTAATTTATTTGAAACGCCATTAAACCAACTTGACTCTAAATAAATCACCTAAGTTGACTTCAAGCGCACAAAACCATTTTTAAATATTAATGAAGTACTGTAGACACCTTTAATGGTGACTGTAGCTGTGAATGAAACTTTAATTTTCTTTGTTAGCTTGAAAAGAAGGGGAAGGGCCGCATGAGTTTGAAGTAAACGCATTTCTTTAGCAAGCTGCAAGTGTTAAGAGCTCTCTTTAGGAATAACACCAGTTGACCATTTTGTCCTCTTGACTTTCGGGATGGTAGAAATAAATTCAAGTACGACATGCTTTCCGATTCTGTTTCTTTCGTCGATTATTTCCTTTATTTGATATTGTCATTGAAATTCAGATTCTCCCACTTATTTCGATGAAGAGCTTGGATAAAAGACAAAGAACCGTGTCAAAGTTAGTTTGTTTTAGCTTTCAAACATCCAAAGCTGCAGTAAAACTGGATAGCAACGGTGGCTGACCAAAAGCCTTTTGCAAATATTTGACTTACAGTGTAATTAATTTTGAGATGTCCAGCTATGAAAAGAGCCCCATTGTTATTTAAATCATCGGGGTAAAGTTGCTTGAGACATGTTTCTTGAAATTTATTAGCATTATTTTCATCTTGAATACGATCTGATACGTTCTGCGAATCACCCAAGTTGTAATCCAAGAAAATAGTTATAGAATTTAATATTATTTCTAGTGATCACCTTTACAAGACTGCAAACTTAGTAATCAAACATTTCATCTCTACTATTATCTTTCATTACTTGATGAATGGCTGCTTTTCTTCTTCTTTGATCCTATTTTACTGATGATTGTTCCCGATAAAACCACAGGGTCTTTCACAGCGGATTACTATAGAGGTTTAGTTGGACTTGCTTTTGAGCTCCGTAAATATAAAGTTGTGTGAAATAATCAAATAAATAAAGTCTTACCTTCATAAAGAGTAGTCTGTGCTGTTCTTGTCGCGATTTGAGGCCGTTTTGTTGTGTTTCAGCTTAACGTCCTAGCACTACAAAATAAAAGGGAAGGTAGGAAAGCCTTGTCTCACACACGCTCGCCAAACTCGCTCGAAAAACACACTTAAATACTTCCCCTTGAATCGAAACTTGGCAGCACGAAAGCCAAATAGTTGCCCTTCAATTTCACCGAAACAAATCCCACAAAAGTTGGGTTGTCGAGCAACCAGCCCAGCGAAAATGTGAAATTGACCGCCATTTCAACGCCATTAGAATGCGCGTCCGCCAAATCCTGTGCAGTCAAAAGTTCGTTACGACGCGGTCGGCCTACACACTAGCAAAATTAGGCCCAAGGGGTAGCCCTACGATATGAATGATTAGTCAGAAATAAATACCAACCCACACGTGTAGGGAATATTTTGCTAAATGGCTTGCTGTTTTGCTAAACATTGGCCACAGTTGACAATATCCTAAACTGTTGAGGACCCAAACCAACTGCTTATCATAATTCTTATGCTGTGATACCGGCGATTTTTAAATATCTCTTCCTTTGGACTGGTACTAAACACGAAAAAAAAAAATTCGCATTTCATTGAAGAGCAGCGTTTATTCTCTTGAGGATATCACCCTTAAAGGATTTACCAGTATACCAAAAAATGTGCCAATGAGAAAAAAAGCGAAAAACCTCACACACAAGCTCAAAGCCTTGCACAAAACGATTTTTACTCAACCCAGAGTTCATCGCACGGTAATGAACATCACTTAATTTGACTATAGCCCACCATGTAAACTACTGGGTTACCAGTAATTGTGTTAGCTAATAAAGTTAATTTTTTTTTTTGTTGTTGCGGGATTTCTCCGATCTTTGATCCTCTTTTGGTATCCCTATACGTCCAGTAGCGACAGAACAGACTTGCAGCTCGTCATCTGCATTATTTCTAGGGGAATATCCTCAGCTTGTATTACATCAAGTTTTAGTATCATGCTTTTCATCTTTTTTTGAAACTACTTAGACCTCACTGGGTCCCGCCCGCCTTAAAAACTTACCGTGCCTGCTATCAATAACTCTCGTAGACATATTTTACGTACCAATGTTTGACTTGGTAGTTTGGTTTCATCCTGATGTGAGAGTGATGATTTTTATCTGCCATGTTACATTCTCGGCTTGGGGACTGGCAGTGTCAGTTGGGTATTTGGTTGCTGGAATCAGAATGTGGCTCAATTTGAAATCATCGTTGGTTGATAATGCTCGCCGCTTCACTTCAGCGCAGGACTCCAAACGACTTAAGCGATTATTTTCTCTGAAGTGTTGGGCACTGATCTTTTTGTAAAATGATAAAGTTCTGTCTATCACTGTATACGGCTATCGGGGAGTACGGTGCTTTTGCTGATATCGGTTTCGTTAAAAGTTGGCCCTGGTTTGCTGTTCAGACACCACTGAGGATGTTTGAACTTCTGATGAGTTTCTCTATTTTCACATTATCTTTCCATAATGCGATGACGAAAAATACTGACGCCAACAGTACACGGGGTGTTCAATTGGAAGAACTGAAGAGGCCCTTCTAATAACTAATTCTTGTTACTTCGCTTGAAATAAGCAACTAGTCGAAAAGAAAGGGGTTACCTTGGAAAGAAACTGTTGTGTATGTTTCGTAGGCGTACTGAGTCAAACACTTAGCATGCATGGTTGATAATCAGCCGGACACTTGCGAAGATTACAAAACTTATATACAGTTTAAAGCCTAATCTTGGCGGGGGCATGTCGTTTTGAGCAATAGCGCTTCCTCACCACGGTGTCACATCTTTAGGCAAGCCAACTGAATTTCGATTTTAGGTGGTGCAAGGATAGGAAAAACTGTTTTTCTTGTCTCTTAAGAATGTCACTTGTTAAATCCGATTTTTTTGCAATCATATTACTCCAGTCGATTCGCATCTAGAGAGAAAGCGACGTTCGAAAAAATTACAGGTGAATTTGTTCAATGAGCGAGCCCTGCCGGCTTACTTCTCACTTTGCGGCAACTTACTCTAAAGAGCGCACAATTTCGTGCTGCGCGAAGTGCATGCTTGTTATTTGCACCGCATGTCACTTGTTAAATCCGATTTTTTTCAATCATATTACTCCAGTCGATTCGCATCTAGAGAGAAAGCGACGTTGGAAAAAATTACAGGTGAATTTGTTCAATGAGCGAGCCCTGCTTACTTCTCACTTTGCGGCAACTTCCCCTAAAGAGCGCACAATTTCGTGCTGCGCGAAGTGCATGCTTATTATTCGCACCGCATGTCAATGTCAATATGTTAACTTTCCAATCAATCACTGCAAAACTTTACATGGATTACATCCTCAAAGTTCAGGTTTAGTGATTCACCTTACCGCCGACACACACTTCTTATTTTCATCCAAGATTCAAAGAAAATGATGACTCTTGTTTTTGTTAACTCAGCTGGATATAGTTTTCCAGGACGGGCTTGAAGCCACTACTCTGCTCTGTAGTACCATGGATGTGCTAAAGAAATCGCACACAATCCATCACAACTCCGTGTTTTTATTCCAGTTGTGTAACTCAATTATAAAAGCACCTCAGAGTGCCATTAGCCATTAGCAGGACTCAGATGGGTTGCAAGAATAATTCCACGTATGTCCGGGAGCAACTCGTTAGATTATATTTATTTTGCCCGACCTGCTTGCAATCATAATTAACAATTATTCACCAGAGCAAAGTAAAATATCCACCATTTTCACCTCAACTTCGGTAAATACGTGTTTTAGTGTATACCCCACAGAAACCGAAAAAAAAATTTCTGTCAATATATCAAAAACTGATCGCAAATTAAGTTGTTGGCGTGCAATTTTGTCTCTTCGGCTGCTCGGGGTAAATAGTACTAGCTAATCACCTATGAAGCAACCAATCAGCGCGCGTGAAAACCACTACTCACGTGTGTGGTATATACTAATTACAATATGAGGCCTGCATATATGTTACAGGATAAGAAAGATAGTAAGTTCTGAGCTTGGTAAAGAAAAAGAGAAAGAAGTTTTTCGATTTGTCACGAGCGTGGAACAAAGGAAAAATTCTGAGTCCCCGCGAGGAATCGAAACTCAGACCTTCGGATTTCCCGCTCTGATCCTCTACAAATGACCCACCGAGACCGGCTCTATCGAGAGCAAAGTTCATAACGAAGTTCATGTACGACGCGCTTCCTGCATACTGCTAGGATCGGCAATGTCGATAGAGTCATGTTTTAGAAATAGAATAAGAAAGATGGTAAGTTTTGAGCTTAGTAAAGAAATAGAGAAAGATGTTTTTCGTCGTGAGGAAGAGCACTGGATTGAGCGTTTGAATCAGATACAACCAATCAACGGTTTTATAACTAAATTCAAGTTACCAAAACATATCCATGTATGAAAATATGTCAAATTTTAGTTGCTATCAATTTGGAATACACCCCCTTTACAACCAACGCAAACTCGGAGACCATCAAACCCTACAACTCAGTGAAATTGGAAAGTCCACATTTTAATTGCTCACCTGAATTTGATAAAATTTTCACAGATTTTTGGCCAAAATTTTGCTTTTTCACGAGTGCCTGGGTATTAAAATTAACTTATTTGAAATCAGACCATGATCAGCCTTTTTTTTCGTCTCAACAGACTTGAAGAACACCTCAGAGTTTCATTAAACCAATAGTTTGACTCACTAAAACACAGCAGGGGTCCTTAGTGCCACTTTACAAGGTCTTTTCGAGCCGCTTATTACCCAATTGCAGCAGACTTCGGGAACAGTTGCATTTTCAGAGCTGCATTTTAATTAAAAGCTGTCAAAATTAACAAATGTTATGAAAAATCTTTGAATTCTAATTCAAATCAACTTCATTCATATTTAAATTCAAATCAGGTAAAAACATCTCCTTGCCACCAACGCAAACTTTAGATCACTAAAATTTTTAATGCAACAAAAAAAAAATTAAAAAAAATTATCGCCATTAGTAACAAGCCCGTGGGATGAAGCTTTCCCAAAGAAATTTAAAACCTTAATTCTGCTCTTCTCTTCACGGGTATTTAATTAAAAATGTAAAACGTGCATCAAAATAAATTCTTTTTATATGTGCTTAGCTAGGCAGATCTCAAGGGGTCAATATCACCGGATTTCACAACTGAAAAACCCACTTCAGTTAGGGTGATTGACAAGAGTGCTCCCCTGTTCAACCAATGAACGACTTGTTACTGCGGAAGAGGTGAAAATTTCTGTCAATTGATAAACAGCGAATATCAAAAAAACTGTTAGATTCAAGCCCACCGTGAAACTCCATACTCAGTTTCTACCTCGCATCATTCACTGTTCTTCTGCGCTCGACGTACCTTTAACCAGGTAAAACATGCCCTTTGGGTCCCGGGTTCACTATTTCACACGATTCTTTCCGAGTTTTAATTTGTTTTCCTAAGTCTTCCAGATTTTTTTTTTTGTTTATTTATCTATGACTATTTGCCTACTCTTCACCATTCAAGCTGGCCGGCATGCTGAAATGAAATAAGACATCTGTACTGTGGTGATGGACACTTTGGCAAACCGTGTCAGTGCGGGACTACAGCAAACAAAAAAAACATGACATCCAACTCTGACAAAGACCAAAAACCTCATCAATTTTCTTCATCAAATGAGTCGACTGGCGACAACTTACTTCATAATTGGGCTGAACCTTCCCCAAACTGGCTCGAAGCTATCGAGGAGTGGGATTGGCTGTGGTTAGCTCACGTCTATGGTTTTGGAGGGATTTTTGTTCTTGTGGCATCGTACGCGATTAGGCGCTTTATCGCATCTCGTAAAACTGTGTTGACGCAACATAGAGTTCATCGCGCCGTAATGAACATCGCTTTGCTTGTTGCGGGATTTCTTCGATCTCTGATTCTCTTTTGGGATCCTTATGCCTCCAGTAGCGACACAACAGATTTGCAGCTTCTCATCTGCATTATTTCTTGGGGAATATCCTCAGCTTGTATCACATCAAGTTTTAGTATCATGCTTCTGATCTTTTTGGAAACTACTAAGACTTCACTGGGTCCCGCCCGCCTTAAAAACTTACCGTGCCTGCTTTCAATAGCTCTCGTAAACATCTCTTACTTACTGCTGTCTGACTTAGTGGTTTGGTTTCATCCTGAAGCGAAGGTGATGATCTTCATTTGTCATGTTACCTTTGCGGCCTGGGGACTAGCGGTGTCAGTTGGGTATTTAGTTGCCGGAATCAGAATGTGGTGCAATTTAAAATCCTCTTTGGGTGGAACATTCTTCAACCGAGAGTTAGACCGGGACTTCAAACGACTTAAGCGATTATTTATTCTGATGTGTTGGGCATCTTGTCTAGGGATATTCAAGTTTTCGCTGTCATTGTATAATGCTATCGGCGAATATGGTGTTTTTGCCGATATCGGTTTTGTCAAAAGCTGGCCTTGGTTTGCGGTGCAGTCATCTTTAAGACTGTTAGAATTTCTTATGTGTTTGTTTATTTTCCTTATTGCCTTTAGCAATGGGAAAAACAACAGTCATACCAACCCTGAGATTTGTTCAAATCAAGTGAACCAACGGCAGAATTTAGAATTGAATTAACCCAAATGAGTGACCTTACATGAATCAACCGGATAGGAATTAACCAATCACATGTGAGGAAGGCTAACAATAGAGCATTACAGAAATGATCATCAATCAATTTTAACGAGTCAAAAAAAGAAATACCATTTTCAAAACTTCAATTAATTTGGCACTAATTAGCGATGACTTTCTCCAAGACCTCTCAGGTTGTCGAAACGTAAATCGCTGTACTACCAACAGTCTTTTTCAACGGCCTATCCAAAACTAGGATGATCAAAACGCGTTCATGAGTTGATGTACTGAAAAAATTATATTAATGTTTGAAACCAGCTTTTTTCCATAATATTAGCTATAGTGTTGTTGTCGTTCTCTTCAATTTCGATTTCAGACCCGATCTTTGAAATTGATATGGGGGTTCTTATCGCTTTACAAATATTTTAAGTGGTCATGGTTTTCTCCTCATCGATCATTAGCAAACGTTCGTTAGAATAAGGAAATAATTATATTAATTCCATAGAGGGTGCTATCAAAATGAAAAGTACAGATCTACCAGTAACATTGCTCTTTCAGGCAAGTGATCGGTTGTCGAATACGATTCACCTGTGTGTGCCCGCATGCCGTGACGAGACCGTGCGTGACAAGCGTTTTTTCCCAGTCCGTGAAGATCACGCTACGTTTTTTCACGGCGTTCTCTAAACTTTTCACTTGAACCCTGTACACAATTATTGATTGATCGCAAAGAGATAAACTTCTCAGCACTCTAATTCAGCCCAAACAGTGTAGAAAACGTCTCTGTGATTTTTAAATCGTTTCATTGCGACTGCTGTAGGATTGCTATATGTGTCACACAGTAGGTCACGCTATCACCTTTTTTTATGCCCATACATGTTGCTCGCAAGACGTGGACGTGTAACCAAGAGATCTTTCAGCTAAACTGCAGAATACTCAGCAACTCATTTACTCATGGAATAAGAACAGCGACTATTGTGTTATGCCACGTTCTTCAAAGCCTGGCCGGGTATTCTGAAGTTGCTCCGATGTTTCCTAGTAATGGACGACAACCCACCCAGTGGTTACCATGACTGTGTGACATGCCAAACGTTACAAATTGTTTTCCCGTACATGACATAGTAAGTTCATGTTCTTGCGAAACAATATGGCGACCGCTGATGCGACCATTTTGAAGGGAGATGCTGAGGAGAAAACTTACGGGGATTTTAAGGAAGAGCTACTCCAAAAACTCAATGAGCTCAGAGAAACAAACATTCTCTGTGATACGATAATTCGAGCCCAAGGACAGGACTTCCCCGCTCACAAGTGTGTTCTATCAGCTGCCAGTCCTTACTTTCGGGCAATGTTTACAGGTGAATTGAGAGAAAAAGAAAGTAAACTTGTTGATATACAAGATATCAAGTCTTCGACTCTTAATGATGTTCTTCGGTATGTTTATACTGGTGAAACAAGAATCGACTCTTCCAACGCGAAAGATTTGGTGATGGCCGCAGACTATTTGATCATTCCAAGTTTGAAAGGGAGAGTAACCCGTTTCCTCGAAGAAACATTGAAAGCTTCGAATTGCTTGGCTTTAGAATCGTTTGCTTCTCGGTACAACTGTGAGTCACTCAAAAGGGCTGCAGTTGACTATGAGATGGAAAATTTTGTGGAGGTCGCGAAATCCGAAGATTTCAGACTGCTTGATGTGGAGAAAGTTACAGAACTGATTTGCATGGACGAGATAAACGTGGCCGAGGAAGAGGAAGTGTATGAAGCAGTGATGGCCTGGGTCAAACATGATCTTTCATCCAGGGAGTGTTTACTTCAAAGTCTACTTAAATGTGTAAGACTTTTCTCATTATCAAAGTACAAACTTCGAAATATTTTAGATGAGGAGTTAGTCAGTAAGGATCCAGTTTGCATGAAAGAAGTAATATCTGCATTAGATTTGTTCATATTCCCAGGTGAGTTGCTAGTCACATCAATGAAACCTCGTCTCTCATTGAGCAGTTGGGAAGACGTTGTGATTCTTACTGGTGGAGAAGTTACATGGGGATCAAACTATGACACTACTGTGTGTTTTGTACCTTCCACCTTAGGATGGTTTTACTTACCCACAATGCCTTTTTCTCGTTCCCTTCATGGGGCTGCAATTTGTAGTGGGATCTTGTATGTGATGGGTGGAAAACAATCAGTCCCAGTGTGTTTTTTGGACCAAAAACAAAATAAGTGGGACACACTAGACCTCACTCTGGATCGAGAAGGCTGTACAGTAACATCACTTAATGAGGAGCTCTATGTAATTGGTGGCAAGGATTCATGGCAAGATGTTCAAATTTACACTCCATTTCTTAACAAATGGAGACAAGGGACATCAATGGAAACTACTCGTGCTGGACACAGTGCAGTTGTACTACAAGGACATATTTATGTCGTTGCTGGTTACAATGGTAAGGTTTGTCTAAGCAGTGCAGAGTGTTACAATCCATCAACTGACCAATGGGCTGAGATCTCAGGTATGTCTAAGGTGCGAAGGTCTGCAGCTGCTGTGGCAGTTGGAAGAAACATTTTTGTTGTTGGAGGATTTGGTGACATGACAAGTTTAACCATAGAACCTTCCTGTGAAATATTTTCCCAAGGAGCAAATCAGTGGAGTCTGGTGCCTAGCCTTAGTATTCCTCGTGCTGCAAGTGGTATTGTGAGTATCGGAGACAAAGTTTATTTGTTTGGAGGGGAGGATGAGGACGACTACCAAAACGATGTGCTCTGTTGTGATTTAGGAAAAAATGAATGGCATAAGATATCAGTTATACCTACTGGACAACGCTAGTTTGTGCAAGCATCATTGCTCAAATTGTCAAAAAAGTTGATAACATCTTATTTCTCAAAAAGATAGGAAGCTGTCAACACTTTGATAGAATTGAGGCAGGTCATGTGTTCAGTGACTAATCACAATAAGGGTGAGGACATGTAAACAAACCTAAAAACCACAAACTGATTACAATTGCCCTGAGCAGTTAAGTTTAATTTTATGATGAAGATAGGCTACTTCCTTGAAACACAATATAATTCTATGAATAGCTCTGGTGTTCATTATTTCTAAGTTTCATAATTAATATGAGTCACCAAAAGTATTGCTGCACTTAGGTAGGAGGCAGTTACTGAGGTTTTGTAGCCAACTACACAGGAAAAAGAAAAGAACCGTAAACTTTGTTTTTCTTTATTTTTCTTTTTAACTTACTGCAGATAAAATGATTTTACTCAAACATTCTACAGAGTGTTAGAGTTGTACAAACCTGTTACTGAAGGGTTGCCTTTTGTGTATATTCTTTTTTTAAGATTATTATTCTTTTTTTTATTTTTTACAGAAGGATTGTTCCTTAGGCCACTTTACTGTATTTGTTAGTTTGCAGATGGCTGGAAACATTCATTCAGTAACATTCCCCCCTCCCCCCCTCCTCCAAAATAAAGAATATTAATCAATACCAAACATATTTTAGTCAATTAATTAAAATACAAACAAGCCAGTTTGAAAGGACATAAATTACTATTTTGTACCCCAATTTTCTATTCTATGATGTGATCTGCAGTTCACTTGTCTTTAAGAATGATTGAATTTCTGATGTGCTGGTTTATTTTCCTTACTGCCTATAACAGTTAGAAAAATGACATTCCTTTCCCCTGACGTAATATTTTTTGAAATCAAGTAGACTGACAACAACATTTAGAATTAACTGTCTTTAAAAAGGTTGCAAAAAGACAAAATGAAGAAATGAATAACCTTAGCAACTAGAAAGGAACTGGTCAATTACTAGCTAGGAATGCTTCTTAATCCATACAAGCAATTTACACTGTAAACACCAAGATACTTACCAACAAGTTTCAACATGTTAAACATTGAAATATAGAATGAATTAAAAGCCCCACT